CACAAAATGGTGACAAAAAGCAGAAAAGAACCTCAAAAATTCACAAATTTACAATAAAACAACCACAAAGAGACACAAAGAGGCAGAATGACCACAAAAACTCACAAAATTACCACAAAACTGCCACAGAATGAACACAAAAAGACCCAAAACGACCAAAGAGACACAAAACTACTGCCAAAAACCACAACTCTAAAAACAGACACAAAAATATTGAATTTCCCTTCTGGGATAAATAAAGTATTTTTCATTTCATTTCATTCCAAAAAGACACAAAAAGACATCAGAGACAAACAACAACAACAACAACAACAACAACAGAGATCCATCCATCCTGTCTCAATGTCAGGGCTCATTAAGAACCAATTAATTAATTAAACAAAGTGACGACACAGATACGTGCAAAACGACAGCAGAGACACAAACAACCACAAAGAGACAGAACGGCCACAAAAACTCACAGAACTAGCACAGAATTAACACAAAGTGGCCACAGAGGAGCACAAACCCTCTGCTCACCTGTATGAGGTAGGTGACCCGGGTCAGCAGGTTGTTCAGGGTGACCCTGGTCTGCCTCAGGTTGGTCTGGGCCGGGCTGAAGGTCACGCCCTCCCCGCACCACGAGCACAGCGCCGGGTTGGTGACGGCGGCCGACGGGCAGATCCGGCACACCACGCCGTACCACACCTCGCCGCGGCCGCCCATGTCCACCGGGGGGCGCCAGCGCAGCGACACGCCGCCGTCCCCGCTCTCGTACTCCCAGGACGGGGAGACGGGGGCCGACGGAGGGGCTGCAAGAGGAGACAGGAGGCATCCGGTGAGAAGATGAGGAAGACGTTCGACGACATCATGCCAGTCTCAGCTTCCCTCCACTGGCTCCCCGTCCGGTTTTAATGTTTGCTGATCACTTTTAAAGCTCGCCAGGTTCTGCTGACCCCTGATGATCCACCTCAGACCTTCAGGTAGATCCCTGCTGGTCGCTCCAGAGTCCAGGCTTGAATCTAAGGGAGCTTTCTCCATCAGGACGCCTCGACTTTGGAACGACCTGCCTGAGGAGGGGAAGCTGACGGAGTCTTCTAAAACTTAAAACCCACTTTTAGAGGTTTGCTTTTATGTGAAGTTCAAGTTTAGCTTTAACTGGCTTTAGCGTTCTATGCTGTATTTCTGTACCACTGACCTGTTTATTCTACAAGTTTTATTTTAATTTTAGCTGCCTGGTTCTTTGGTGTGATGTCGTCTTTAATTAACTTTTCATCTTTAATTCTTTAACTTTTAAACAGCCTAGTTGTTCTGTTGGATGTGTCCTTTGCTACCTAAACCTATTACTATTTTATTATTTCTGTTGTTTATTTTGTCTCCTTGACTGTCGAAGCACCTCGGGAACGCTGTGCTGTACAAACCAAGGTATTATATACTTATTTCTTCTTTTGTGAGAGAAATCCTCGTTTGAATCGGATCAGAACACGGACCCTGGCAGCCCAAACCGGCCCGCTGAGGCCCCACCGAGCAAACAAACGGACACACAAAGCTCACTTGTGCAGGCGGAGGAGTTGGCATCGCCGGCCGCCCGGTAGAACCCGCTGCGGCATTCACACATGCTGGATCCCTCCTGGCTGGTTCTGCTGTTGGACGGGCACACGGAGCAGGGAACCGAGCCCGGGACCGCCTTGAAGTAGCCCACGGGGCAGGCTGCAGAGAACCAAAGGAGGCAGTTTATTTACAGGGGAGGAAACAGCAGAACTAAACCTGAAGCTATGAGTTATTTATCATATCTGGACAGAATCTGGTCATCGGGTCAGAACACAAACAAGCCCAAAATAAAATGTTTA